CAAAAGACAAAAGACAAAAGACAAAAAAAAAAAAAAAAGATTGATTACATTGATTGATTGTCTACTATTGAGTCATGAAGAAGACACAGTTCTTGCCCTCAGGAGTCATGCAAATCCCAAATTCAACTGCGCCCATGTGATGCGTGCAGTGGCAGAGGCACAGTGAGAGCTGTGGGGGCAGGGAGGGGGTCCCGGATTGGTCAAAGAAAGCAGGAAAAGGAGTAGAAGCTAACAAGCTGGAAGCAGCCGCTGGAGTTAGTGGCAGGCGGGATAGTGTCACTCTCAGGAAAGTCACAGCTGGAGCAGATTTAAGAGTGGGGTGGGGTGGTCCAACATTGCGTCAGGAGTCAGATCGTTCCAACTGGCCAGCAAAGGGAGGAAAGCCGAGGGTGGCCCAGTCGTACAGGCCCTTCCTCCTGGTGGATACTTTGACACTTCACTGTTCTCTTCCTAAAAGTCAAGTGTGGAAGAGAAGAAAGGAGGTAAGAATGAACCCCAGCCTATCACACCATGTGCATTATGTTCTAGAAGGTAGAGGGAAATCAAAATTGGGCAGTAACTGATTGGATAAGGAGGAAAATGAACAACTAATCATTGAAACGTTTATTACATAAAGAATACTTCATTCAGTTTCCTTCATGTGCACAGATTGTCATCATTCTTTACTAGAGGCATGTAATTTATAAGAAGTAAACCGGACAGCAATCACTGATCATAGTCCATGTTTTAATTTAGCATCTGTTCAGCTGCATATGTTGTTGTTGCTAATAACTGAGTAGGGTGGAGAGTAGTTGACGATTCCCACTCTATAAGAAACATTTCCTTTTCACACTTACAGTTAAAATAAGTGCTGAATTGTTTCTCCAGAAATCAAGATATAATTTCAGTTTCTCAATGAAGGAATAAATTTGTATTTTTAACTACAAGCCAGAGAGTAGTTCTGAGGTCTGAGTAGTGCCTCTAATTTTGGTTTGACCCCATTTAAAGGGGATGAAAAATCCATACCCTGTCAGGATAAAATGATGACGGTGAGTCCTGGGTGGTTTGTCCTCGCGTTATACAGAATACGGCATCCTAGCCCTCTAAGCAAGAGGAAACCCGAATTAATAAGAATTGCATTTTTCAGAAGACAGTCTTTCTGTGGCTGTGTCATTATCTCCTATTATTCCTCAACAAATGATGCTCATAAATGGAAAAATTGCCAGTACAGACATTTGCCTGTCTTTCTGAGGATAGCTGTGAAAACAGAACCAAAGACAATTCCTTTAGTGATTGTTATTACTTTTTTTTTTTAATGTATTAAAGTAGTGATTGGTAATGAAGGTGGCTCCCAAAGAGGAACAGAACCCAAGGGAGAGGAAATTCCTGAACTGAGAGAAATGTTTCTAGAATACCTTGGCACACAGGAGTCCATGCACAGCTGAACTCAGCTTAGGGTCTCACAAGACTGCAGTCAGGGTTTTGGCCAGGGCTGTGTTCTCATCAGAAGGCTTGGTGAGGGGAGGAGGATCCACTTCCAACCTCCCTCAGGTTGGGGGCAGAATTCATTTTCTTACCACTGTCGAGTTCTTGGTGGCTTGATTCTTCAGAACCAGCAGTGGAGAGACAGACTCTTACAAGATAGGCTCTCCACTCATATGTGATACACCCAGGACCTTTTGTGAATTCCACTGTTTAGAAGCAAGTCAGAGACCCCACCCATGCTCAAGGAGGAGGGGATTACAGGAGGTGGGGACCTGGGGGCTACTATAAAGTCTATCTGCCACAACTACCAAATGCTAAATACTGGATGGGAGAGATGAGTAAGACACCATCCTCTCTCTTGATGACGCTGTATGTGGCGGTAATTAGCAGACGAGTTGCTCAGCAGAGGCAGGATTAAGTGGTACACATCTGTGAAAGCACAGCAGATGGCCATGAGGCAGAGTGGAAGGTTGAACTTGAATGTTGTTATATTCAAATGTAAAATAATTTTGCTGAGAACCACTTGTTATGAGGTGCACTCATTTGGTCTTTCCTAAAGATTATCACAATATTTAAACAGTGACTTAAAAGGTAAAAGAAAAAAAATGTTAAGTAGGTTGATGAATACAACCTGTATGGTAGCCAGCAGCAAGTAAGCCCTGTTTGTGTTTTCAGTTTGTTTGTTTTTTTTGTCCTTTTTGAGACCGGCCGCACCACGCTCAGCCAGTGAGCGCTATGAGCGCACCGGTCATCCCTATATAGGATCCGAACCCGTGGTGGGAGCGCTGCTGCGCTCCCAGCGCCGCACTCTCCCGAGTGCGCCACGGGCTCGGCCCGTGTTTTCAGTTTTAACTTCTTGTTGAAATACAATACAGAAACAGGAGGGTGCACATGTCATAACTGTTCAGTTTGTTAAGTTTTTAAAACTGAACCCACCATGTTGTCAGCACCCGGGTGAAAAACAATAGTACCTCAGGACACCCCCAGGCCCCTTCAGTCACTTGCCCCCTCCCACAGGTGACCACTATCTTGTCTCTAATGACAAAAGATTGTTTTTGCCTCTTTTGTACTTTTTATATTTGGAATCAAACAGGTTTACTTCCCTCAGCATATTTGTGAGGGTCATCCACATTGTTACATTTAGTAGTAGAATATTCTCACGACTCTGTCATGGTCCATCATGTGCATATACCACCGTTTATTCTACTGTTGACAGACTTTTGGGTTGTTTCTACTTTTGATCCGTTAGAAGTAGTGCTATCAGTGTTTTAGTACCTGTATTTTGGTGAAGACGTGTGCTTCTGTTGGGCATATACTTAGGAGTGCAATTGAGTTGTAGGTTATGCATATGTTTTAGCTTTTGTAGATATTTCAATGCAATGTTCCAAAGAGGAACCCTGTTTTGAGATCTGGAGTACTGACTATCTTTTACTCTTTTTGGACCCTAGGGCTACAGAACTGGCTACCCTTATCGATACCCTGCTCTGAGAGAGAAATCTAAAAAGTACAGTGATGTGGAGGTTCCTGCGAGTGTCACAGGCTACTCCTTTGCTAGTGATGGTGAATCAGGCACTTGCTCCCCTCTCAGACACAGTTTTCAGAAGCAGCAACGAGAGAAGACAAGGTGGCTGAACTCTGGCCGGGGTGACGAACCTTCTGAAGAAGGGCAGAATGGAAGCAGTCCCAAGTCGAAGACTAAGGTGTGGACGAACATTACACACGATCACGTGAAACCCTTGCTGCAGTCTCTCTCGTCCGGTGTCTGCGTGCCAAGCTGTATTACCAACTGCTTGGTCTGTGCCTACCTTACTGTTCATAGTTAGATGATGTAGAGCAAGTTGGGTAGCTGGGGCTTCGGAGGCTTTGGGAATCCAGCCTTTCTGACCCAGATATAAAGTAAATTTTCCTCATTAACTTCCTTTTAGTCTTAACTGAAATCATCAACTTTATGCATTAGCTAAAATTCGGATAATACTGTCTGCTTGAAACTGCTTAAGATTGCATGTACCTCTTCAGTAATTCCAATATAACCTGACTCCATACATAGCAAAAATCCTAACATATATTAACCTAAAAGTAGGAGCTCTCATTTAGTTCAGATGGTATTTGAGTACTCTTAATACTTCATGCACAAAAAGGTAGGTCAGTCATAAACCTGATGTCTTAGTGCTGTGAACTCCAGAGGTTCCATCGAGTCAGTAAAGTCTCTTCTTTAAGTCTTTAGCGTTTTCTTAAGCAGTTTTACCTCGTGGCTCACCTGTGTGTTTTCACTGGCTCTTTTCCCCTCTCAGTGTTGTTCCCCTGCTTTCTATCCCAAAGCCTCCGAACGCTCACAGCCAGCTGCCCTCTGCATGGACTGTTGCATGTGAGTAGACGGCCGTAGTGGTGAGTCTTCTTCTGACTCCTGCTGGGTGCGGCATGACCCGAGAGCAGTGCAGGCCACCTGCGGGCGCCAGTGACAGAGGCTGCAAGGCGCTCCTTCGTTTCAGTGCTAATGCTGCTCAGAGTCCCGTTTGCTCTGAAAGGCGCTCCGATGTCCTGGTGCTGAAACGTTCCTCTCAAGATTGGTTGTTACTATTCCTGCATTAAAATGTAGGAGTGGCTCATTTCTAGAAGCCCTGGAGTGGAGTTCTTTTGTGAGGAGACAGAGGCTGGGATAGACAGAGTCATCTATGCAGGACTAGTTAGAGTTTTGTTGAAATCAGGTTAGATGTTTCTAAGGCAGCAGGCCACCAAATAGGCAAAGTGGGATTTTCTTTTCCCCTTATAACAGTGCTTTTATTTTATAGATTTATTTAAAAAAAAAAAAAAAGTTTTGTCTTCCCCAGGTGGTTCTGGTGTTTCCTGATACACAGTTGGCGAGAAGTCTCCGTGCTCCCGAGCAGCTTTGTCACGTGGGCAAGGACCCTGCGTGACTGTGGCCAGGCTCAGAGCATGGGAGTGCATCTCTCCTCTTCCCTCCTCTCACCCTCCCTGTCTCCTGCCCACGCCCCCACCATCTCCCTTTTATTTTTTTCATTTTATTTATTTTTTACTTGTATTACTTGTTAAAGGTAGTGGGCCTTAAAAAAAAAACCACCTTTCTGCTGATGATGTAAATACACAGTGCTGAATTGCTGCGATGAATTTTTCCAAAGTGTGTATGCAGTAGCACCTTTGAGCTTTATCTATTGTTAGCTTGAAAAAAATGAAATCACTTGAGGCATTTTAGTCAATGTCTGCTTTAAAGGGAGACCTTGTTCACTACTTGAATTTATTTCTTATTTTGTGGAGTCGTACACATTCCATGCAGTATTCCCAGGTCGGTATATTTTAATTTATAATAATTGCTATTCATTTTTAAATGTGTTTACACTTCTGAGGTTGTTGTTTTAATGTTTTGACTAAGAATTATTTTTGATAAAACGCTGGAGTTGTTCTTATCTGAGAGGAGAACCGTCAGTGAGTACCCGGCCCCATGCCCATCGCACACGCTCCTCACGGCGGCGCAGCATTGGCGGCTTTGTTGCTTTCTTCACAGTCGTGTGGGCTATGGCTATCTTTTGCCTCTTGAAAATATTTTGAAAGGCATAACATTTGCTAAGATGGGCTTGTTTTAATGTTCAGTGCCTATTTATGCCCAAGAACTAGAATTTGATTAAAAAAAAATCTCGTATTTGATTAGAGATCCAAAAAAGATTTATGAGGGGAAGTAAGCACACGCTGTGCCCCCGAAGGCACTGCTGACCATAGGCACTGATACCTAAAATGGCCTTTAATTAAGGACTCATGAAGCGCTTCAAGTTTGTTTGGGATATTTTTATAGCACTCAAAAGTGTTAAGCTGTAGAAAATATTTGACATCACCAAACTCTTCCGGTAGCTACTGTATAAGTGTTCATACAGTAATTTTCTTGGGTTGCAACAGTTATGCAAACAGTGCTTTCCGATGCTGTCATTTATTTTATTGCAAAACTTTGGTGATGCCCACTCTCGCCTCACAGTGCAGATCCTTTCCCTGCCCCTGGGTGGCAGCATCACATCGCTTTCCATGATCTGTCATCTCATGCTTCCGGTTGGCTTTGGTGTTGGGTGACTCAGAGCAGTGAACCAATGGCCTCTGAGGGGCTTCCCCGGCTGGCCCGAGGGGTGATGGGGCTCCACTCTGTCGTCAGCCTGCATCATGCCCCACATTTCAGCAGGGCTTTTTAGGTGGCCCTTTCTGATCAGTCATGACTCTGATTGGTTCCATTATTAACCGGTTTTTATGTGGCCATGTCCCACTCTGCCATGTGGCAACTCTGCTGAGTGATCCAGGAAATGCAGTCATTGGTTCAGTCCTCTTTGTGATGTTCAGTGCATGACCAGATGTGAGAGAAATTGGACAAATTGGATGCTATAGTTTCACTTCTTGTTGTCATAATCCTGACTTTTTAACTGTTCTTGATATTACAGTGGACGAAAGAGGATGGGCATAGAACTTCCACCTCTGCTGTCCCTAACCTGTTTGTTCCATTGAACACTAACCCAAAAGAGGTCCAGGAGATGAGGAACAAGGTGCGTCCTGCTGTCAGCACTGGGTGGGAGCTGGGGTGCGGGGCTGGAGGGGATGCTGGCTACTTCAGGGGTGGGGGGTGTGCCTGCTGCAAGCAGAGGATGTTTGCTGTCACCACTGTTGCAACTGAAGTCATCTTTCTGTACTGCTTCTACTGTTCTGTCAACACTGTGAAGTGTGAGCAGCAGACATTTCTGGGCCACCTTGCTCCTCTTGAACTGATGCTTGCTCACAGGTCGGAATTGGAGGCTGCAAAGACGGTTTTTAGCAAGAGTAGAACAATTGCCCCTGCCTTTCAGGGTTCATTTAAAGAGTTGTGAACAGCATTTGGTATATCAGAACATCAGAATGTCACTAGAAGATGGGCACAAAGGGAATATTTTCCCCCAACTTAGTGATCTAGGCCTTGTTGAAGCGATCTGAAAAGTGTGGAAAGTCAGTAATAGTCCCTCCATCCTTGTAGACCCATGTCCTGTGAAGCAGGTAGGACCAGTACCATCAGGCACTCAGGACGCACTGGGCTGTCCTGCCATCATGGGGTTGGGGAGGAGTGGAAGCCTAGCTTGCACTGGGGTCCAAGTGCATGGCTTCTCTGTACTGTTGATGTGTGTTTATCCTTCCTTCCATCCTCAGATCCGAGAGCAGAACTTACAGGACATTAAAACAGCTGGCCCTCAGTCCCAGGTTTTGTGTGGTGTAGTGATGGACAGGAGCCTCGTCCAGGTGAGAGCTCAGAATGTCTCTGGCATTAGTGGGTGGTGGCTCTGTGACCATCTGCTCCAGAGTTACACTTAAATTGGGAGAGAATGACTGTATAAGGTAAGTTTTCTAGATGACCAGTTATCTTTGTTAAAAAATCTTTGTGATAAGAAATAACCCAGGCACTCTTCCTTGAGTTTTAGACCAGACATAGCATGCTGGGGCCTGTGTCTGTCCTCTTGTCCTCGCTCCTTGTAATGCATGCCTGTGTGAGGGGGGCACACATGCTGCAAGCTTTGGGACCGGGGTTCTCCATGGTTTCAGCAGTGTACTGTGTAAAGTGCTAAAAGAGGGTGGGTTTAGTAGACTTTTTTCTGAGAAATTGCTGTCTGCAACAGACTGCTGCTTGGGTTGCAGAGGGTTGGGTACCTGTAAATGTGGCCCACATTTACATGCATTTCTATAAATGACCGTATATAGTGGCACATTGAAGATAATTGTGTAAGTAGTTATCTCTGAAAATTAATATGCCACCTAATGCTTTAAATCCTGACTGCAGGGGTAGATGACTGTTGTTGCGTTTTCTGAGTTTGGCCAGCTGTGATCTGGTTTTGTGTTTGATGTCTGCACGTACCACTGTCATCACCCCGCATTCACTGTTGACGACCGTCCCTGCTGCATGTTCTTAGCTGGCTCCATCCTGTGCTTGGTTGATTTTCAAAGGCTTGGGCTGGGTGTGCTCTGATGACTCAGTTTACTGTTGCAGGACGCACCCCTCTCTGACTGTACGGAAACTATCGAAGGGCTCGAGCTTACAGAGCAGACCTTTAGTCCCGCTAGATCTCTCTCTTTTAGAAAGGTACTCATTGCCCTGCCCTCCATCACCTGTCGGTTCGCGCTGCTCCCTGTCCCCCCACCCCCATCTCCTCTCTTTAGGCATTGTCTTAGTTACTGAAGTAGCTTGAAATGGATCTTTAAACCATTTGTGACATGGTACAGGTGGTTGTGTTCTGCCTATTCTTCAATTAAAACCTTTGGTATGAGGTATTTTAAGTTTTTGTATTTCTATGTTATTGCTGAGAAATGGCCAGTCTGAATGATGTGGTGCATTTCTGAAGTTCTGCATGTGCCCTTGGTTATTGCATGTTTTTGGGTTTCAGTGTATGCCTTTACCAGATGCAAATTGCATATGGGCTCATCTGGGCAGCGTGTTAGTGGTGCCAGCTCTCCTGTGTGACCTCTGCCCTCTCTCCTTCAGCTTGGACTGTAAATGGAGTAAATGTAGCAACTGGAGGTCCTGTCATTGAAAGATGTCTTTTCAGAGGAATGGGAAATAAAACAAGACCATCTTTGTCAGACTTTGTTGATAAATGTATTTATTTATTTATTTTTTTCTGATCGGCAAGGGGATTGCAACCCTCGGCATGGTGTCGTCTGCACCACGCTCAGCCAGGGAGCGCACCGGCCATCCCTATATAGGATCCAAACCTGCGGCCTCGGCGCTACCAGCGCCGCACTATCCTGAGTGAGCCCCGGGGCCGGCCCAAAATGTATTTATTTTTACCTTAAAAAATGCTCTAGGTAATTTTCTTTAACAGTTGTAGGAGAGAAAGACTTATGAAAATATGAACCCCAAAATTGTAGTTTCTGTGTATGTGCATACCTACCTTGTATAGCAGGTGGAAGATCTGTCTGGTATAATTTGTCCAGTAGGGTAGAAAAGGAAACCTTCTGTAAGCATTTAGGTTACTAGTGTGCGAGACTTGGTGCCTGAGGCAGAAAGTGGCTGACCACATGGTTCAGAGTCTCAGTTGTGATGTTTACCCTGTTCAGAGCACTTTTCTAGGGGATGTCTCCCTCTCTTTCCTCATACACCTCTAGTGAGATCCAATTATCATTTTAGCAATGTTCCAAGTGCCAGATAGAAGCAGGTTTGTACCAAAGATTCTATATTCTTTTCTCGGATCCCTGCTAATAACATTATTTTGCATATTTATGTATTAATTTGACAGGTCCCGTTTTTCCCTGTCCTTAGAATTTACTTCTGGCTGCCATTCTTGCAGAAACTTCTCAGAGCAAGGTGAAAAGCTGTACTCTTTTCCCTGTCAGCTTGGTTTTTGTGTTTGGTGCTTTGGGCCGCAAGCTGTTGCGACCTAGTTGGTTCATGATTCTCAGCCTCAGATGTGTGAAGGCACCTGTGGTCGGTGAGCCCTAGGTGACTTGCCCTGCAGAGCCAGCCTGCGGGGACAGCCTTCTAGCTTTGTGGGGCAAGAGCAGGGTCCTAGACAGTCGTTGCAGGCTGTCTGTTTGGCATTGCAGTGCATTTAATGGATTATATTTGACCTTGTTAGGGCTGTCCAGATAGCGGCCTGGTTAGCTGTGTTAAAGGGTGCTTTTTTGTTTGTTTTTTGTCCTTTTTGAGACCAGCCGCACCGCGCTCAGCCAGTGAGCGCTGTGAGTGCACTGGTCATCCCTATATAGGATCCAAACCCGCAGCGGGAGCGCTGCTGCGCTCCCAGCGCCGCACTCTCCCAGGTGCGCCACGGGCTCGGCCCTAAAGGGTGCTTTTTTTGGCTGGTTCATCTAGTTATGGCTTTCTTTGCTCCATCCCAGCGGTGTTCATCCCAGCGGTGTGTGTCTCAGTCACCTGGGTGCTTCACGAGGGCTAGACATGGAGTCCCCACAGTCTGAACACCATGCTGTCTGCGAGGACACATCCAGGTGTAATTAACAGAGTACACCACTACACGCTGACTCATGGAAGAGATGTTGGCTGCCCCTGTATATAACTTGTTGCTCCAGCTTTTGCTTTCTCTCTGTCCCTGCTTTTGAAGTTCACATTAGCACCCTGGATCTTTATCCCAATCTGACTATACATATTTTATTTTTATGGTGAGAGTGTGCTTTGACCCCACAGATGTCCTTTACTGGGGTTGTTATTCCATTTCCTTTTATGTGGACCTCAAAATGCAGGCAGTATTGCTCCTTTTGGAACACGGCACTGCTTATTGGCAAGTTGAATTTCTCCTTGGCCAAGGGAAGAGGACCATGTCCTAAAAACTCCTCTTCCCAACGAGACAAGTGTGTAGATGCCTGCTTCCCACGTGAGAAGCTGAGCAATGTGTGTTTGGGACTTAGGGTGTTGGGCCTGTCTGGAAGGCCTTCTCGGCTGTCCTCTTCTCCCCTCTGGTGGTGCTGCTCACGGTGCAGGTGCCATCTTCCAACAGAAGGGATGAGTCATCAGTTCAGAAAGGATGACTTCAGCTTTTGCACCTCCCAGTGTGTAACCTGAAGTAACCTTGGCTGCCTTCTGGATTTTATTGCAAGTGGATTGAATGGTTAGAAACGAGGGTGTGAAATTTATGCTGCAAACTGTCCAGCCCAGAAAGGACTCTGTGGTCCCTCTGTCTAGTGCAAGCTTCCCACATCTGCACCTCACCAGAGGCCGCAGCAGTGCCACCTTTGTGCTCTATGGTAGAAACGCAAAGGGGCAGTGAGCCCACCTCTTGGACTCTATCAGTGACCTTGTGTTGAGCACCCAGCACTAAGCACTAAGAATGTCAGTTGAGTTGAGCACTAAGAATGTCAGGGCTGAGTTGGACCTGTTTAGAGATGAAAACTTGATGCTCAGAGAGGAGGTTGGTCACCAGCGTGGCTTTGCACAGCTTCGGGCGGGGGGGCCGGTTCCACCCCAGCTGCCTCAGGCAGGTATGGAAACTGTTACTAGGCCTCTGTTCAGCAGAGAGCCCTCATTAGGGGATTAGGCAGCAAGAGCCTCTGCGTGGCCTGCTGGTGGGCAGCTTTTCCATAGCCTGACTTCTCAACCCGGGCTATGCCCAGGCAGCCCTTTCTCTGAGTCTCAAGCATTGCTCTGTTTCCTTCCCTGCAGAGTAACCAGGTCACTTTGTCCCCATGTCTGTTCACAGCTGGTCTTGACAGCAGATCAGGCTTCTGCTGAAGTATTTGGAGGAGGGAGCCCACTGCCAGTGGAGGCAGGAACCCATGTGCTTTGCCTAGAGGGCCAGCTGTCCCAGCATGGGAAGGGTCCTCCTTGTCTCTGGGGCATTAAAACTTGGAACAAGGGCTTTGACATCTGTGACAATCGATTCTTGATATTGTATTCCTACTAATTTTGAACATTTGATTTAAATGAATTTAAACATTTATCTCAAACCTCATATCACCTCATTTTACTGGCAGTGATATCGGGATGCAGATGCAGCTAGCCAAATTGCCATCGATTTATAGAATGCTGTTGCATGAAGGGATCTTAGCAGTTGTCAGCCCTGCAGCTCCTCTTGCAGATAGTAAAACAGGCCTGTGGACAAGAATGGGCTTGTCTTGGGCCACAGAGCTAACCAGTGGCAGACGAGGATTCAGGTTCCTGCTTGGTAAGACAGGGCTGCTTCTGAATGAAAAGCCAGTTGATCTCAGGTCAGGCCTTGTCAGAGGAGGGCTCCACTTGACCAAGCAGACTATCAGGAGTCTCCAGGCTCTCTTGTACAAAAGTTGCCTATTTCAGCAGGCTTTTCCTTCTGTCCTGGACTCTTTGTCACTGGCCAGTCATAGAGTACTCCAGACACCCTGTACCCAGTGTGCCAGGCAGTGACCAGTCAGTTCAGGCTCTGTGGCCTTTGCCTGAGGAGTGGTTGGCCTGTGTGAGCTGAATTTCCCCAGAAATTGGCCTGGTTAGGATGTTCTCCACTTCTGGTGTTGGCCCCTTGCGGAAGTGAGCACTGAAGGAACAGGCCTGACATCAAAACGATTTTGGATTCTCCTGCTTTTATTTGATTTTGAAGGCTGTCATTAAGTAATGTGCATGTGCGTGATTTCTGGTTAACTTTCTCAGAAGTGAACCCAGAGAGCGTTTGGGGGCCATTTGCTTGTCCTCAGCCTTAACCAGGCTGAGCGTGGGCTCAGAGCTGTGCTGGGGTGGTGAGTGTGGGGTGGAGGCACACCCCGAGGCCCGCCCTGCGGCATTGCCCTGCTGTGCTCACCTCAGACTGGCGTGGTCTGGGAGCGCCGGAGTGCTTTTGCTTTGCTCTCTGTCCTTTTTTTCTTTATTTCTCTTTTCCCTTTTGTCTTTTTTTTTTTTTTTTTTTTTTTTTTTTTTTTTTTTTT